CGCAGTAGTAGGTCCAGATCGGTTCACTACGTGCCTATTTCACCATGGTAGCCATTCACTTGATTACTTAGTATTGGTCACCAAACTTCACCCAAAAAGTAGAGATACTCCCGAATGGGATGGAGGAGGGGGAAACATGTTCCTTTTGTGATAGTGCATTGACTGATCAACCCGTACCGCAGTCGGTATACATGTAACATCCAATGGATGTTTATATGAAGACCCGCTTGGAATCAGCACCATGTGTTGAGCCCCCTCAACTCATTGTACTCGATCTGCTCGGCTTTTACAGACCGCGTCACGTTAGTCTCCCAGTGCTTACTCGTTTCACTTACAAACCAGTATGCAGCATTCGATCGGTTCCCAATCAGCACCAGCGTATACTGTCGAAAAAAAGCATTTTTCCCGTACGATACTTCAGTCAAATCTAGTTAGTCACGTGATCATTTGCCCGAATGTCCCGTTAACCCACTCATGGTGTGTCTGTTTGTTTGCTGCTCCATGCTACACTCGTTCAAGACACATTGAACCTCAGAATTCGTCTATGTTGATCCCTGTTGTTGTCATTCATTCGCGACATAGTTTGACCGAGTCCCACCCAGTCGGTCCCTTATCCCCGCTTCGTCCTGCAGTTGAGAGAACTCGTTGTTCTCACTCTCATATAGATCGATTTCCAGATGCAGTAGTACATACATTACATTGTTCAAACCCGCGGTCTTGTTTTATTCTTGCTTCTTCATTGTTTACACATTCATTGTCCGTTAGTTTCGTTTTTCTCAATTAAACTCACATCTGTGTGTGATGAACATCATACGGAGTAAACCTCATAGCGGTGCATATCTGCTGTTCAGTGATGAAAACCGGCATTTTAATCCCCGGGGACTTGGAAATACCAATCATATTAGGCCCCGCGGTTAGGCTGAGCACGGTATTGAACTGAAGGAGAGAAAACCTGGCTATCACCAAATTTGGGTGTGGGGGTTCGAACCTTGAACCATACGGTCCACTTTGGTCTCCCGTTCGAACGATCAGAGTTAGTGACTATCCAGCACCGAGTTAAGGCTTTCTCTTCTTAGTGTAATCGACGCAAACCGCATTGTTTTGTTGTTCAGCTATGCTGTACGTAAATCTCTAGTTCAATCACTTTATATCAGTGAACTGTTTTATCGAACATCTCCCCCCCCCTCCCCAAAAAAAAATCAGACTCGCAAAATGCTCAATTCAAGTCGACAACTGTAAATACCATAAGTAAACCAAAAATGTAGACCTAGAACATAGATTGATCGGTAGTTTCAAACTATCAGTAATAACAAGTGGTATTTTGCCTTGGGTCATTTTGTGCATGACCATTTTTGAATAACGGAAATGGTGATGTACTCGTATGTTTGTAATATAGAACCGAATTTTGGTATCGAATTTAATTGGTTGGATCGTGTGCGTATCTTACTCGGTCCAATCCAGATCGGTCTATGTCGCATTGCATGAGCTATGGTGGGATAACCGGACGAGTAATGCTGAGGTTACGCGCAGAGTTTTAGTCAGTCAAGGGCCGTTCACAAGAACAAGTAGTCGACCTTCATAGATTACGCTGAGTGGGACATGTGTTACGCATGTCACCAAATAGGTTGCCACGGTGAACAATATTCGCGAAACAGGAAAAAGATCAAGGACCTGGTATGAGGGTTTGAAAATCTTACCCAAGAGACTCGGTCAAATAGGTCCCGTTAGGCTCCCAGGCTGGAGACCCCGAGACCATGGTCAACGATGGTTAGAGACACTGAGCGATATGATTAGGTATCGCAAACAGTGGCGTTGGTGTATATACTCATTTTTCTCTTAACATCAATCTACATGAATTCTCTACCTTGGATTGGCTTCCAACATTCCAATCTTCATCTTTCTCTTTTATTCAAATGAGCAACCCAAAGACAGCAATCAAAACCGTGGCACGAAACTGTAAGAACTGAACTGAACTGTACTGTACTGTACTGTATTCAAAGAGCAATTAATATCTGTACAGAGGATTTTTCAAATCGCACGGACCATGGCCAATAAAAGCACAATCTAGCACAGTTGTGATCGCGACCCGAAGAGTCATCATCAGAAAGTAACAACAAATCGCATACCTGTTGCGTCCAAGTCGATAATATGAACGGGATCCGCAACCGAGCAGACTGGTTCGGATCTTGGCCGAGGATCTTGACTGTCTAGTCCGCCGGATGTGGGCCAATCATGGGACTGTAAATATTCCACTGCATGGGCGAGCAATTCTAGCCCAGTCGGGGGCGTGTCTAAATGAGACGAGATCGTGTCCAGTGAACGCGTCGAGTCCGAGTCGGATGAACTTTTCATATCTTTAATTTGAAACACAAGTTCAACAGGAATAAACAGGCTGTGAGCAATGACACTGCGGGGTCTGTTAAAATGAATGTATGAAACAGTGCGCGTCAAACAGACTATGCAGGATATGCTGCGTACATGTTAACTCTCGGGTTCAGGCTGTAGAGATAAACAAATGAAATCTAGATGAAATTGTTTGTGGGTATCTTTCCACTTTCAGTCCCCACTCTTCGAGGTAAGTATGACGGCAGGCAGTTCCGTTGTTTGTATATATATATATATATATATATATATATATATATATATATATATATATAT